ATATATATGAATATAAATATTTAATTAATTAATAAATTTTTACAGATATGTCAAAAAGAACCCTAAATTTCTGAAATAAATAATAATTTGTTAAATTATCTTTAAACCCTAAAATAATATAACATTCGAAATTTATATAAATAAATATTAAAAATAACTATTTGTTAGTCATCTATCTATTTATATAAAAGTTGAGATTATAACTCTTGGAAATTTCTATATTGGCATTTTTAAATATTTAATATATATTTAAAAAAAAATACTGTTTTAAATTAATATAATTTAATTTATTTTTTTTAATTTTAAATTAATAATAAAGAAAAAGAAGATGGAAAATTACTTTTTATAAATGAAATAAGTTTTAATTCAATCAATGAATTGCTTGACAAAAGGGTTACCTTGATAGGGTAAATTATGTAAATAAATTTACATTCATTAAATTTCTTGTTCTATAAAGCTTTAAATCAAATTTTATTTATATTTAATAGAATTAAACTATTTCTAAAAGTATTAAAAACTTTTGTGCATCATACCCCAAAATATAATATAATGTTTTTATTAATTTTAAAAGATAAGCCAGTAACTTAAGGTTCATACCCCATTAATAAAGGTTTTAATCCTTTTCTTTTGAATTCTTAATAATTCAGCTAAAATTATATTTTTTTTTATTTTAATAATAGGAACAATAACTACAATCTCTTCTAATTCCTGATTAGAAGCTTGAATAGGTTTAGAAATTAATTTATTATCTTTTATCCCCCTGATAAATGATAATAATTTAATATCTGCAGAAGCCTCATCAAAGTATTTTTTTACTCATGCATTAGCTTCCGCTCTTTTATCATTTGCAAATGCATTAATTTTAATAACTTGACAAAAATTTTCTCCTTTAATATTAATTTCTTATATTTCTCAAAATAATTTTATTATTTTAGTTATTATTTTTTCAACAATTGTTGGGTCTTTAGGTGGATTAAATTAAACATCTCTTTGCTAGTAAATCAATATGATTAGCATATTTTTGTTTCTATTCTTTTTTATCATTTAGGCTAATTTTTATTTTTAATAATTTTAAAAATTTCATATTGATCAATCATTTAATTCTTTTTTTAATTCAAAAACATTAAAATTTATTTTATTTTTAAAACTTTTATCTTTAGGTGGACTACCCCCATTTATTGAATTTTTACTTAATTGATTATTTATTCAGTTATTAGTAACTAATAGACATTGTTTGTTAATAACAGTTATAACTGTTATAACTCTTATTATCTTATTTCATATTAAACTACTTTGAAAACAATTGAACTTTCAATATTCAAATTAATAGCCTTTGTATATTACCTTCATCATCTATTTCAACTTTTAGATTAGTTTTAATTTCTTTAATTTATGCTTACTTATAAGGCTAAGGTTTTAACTTAATAAAACTAATAGCCTTCAAAGCTGTAAATATAAGATAAGTCTTTTAAGCCTTAGTAATTTTATTTACTCCCTTAGAATTCCAGTATATCATTATTGACTATAAAGCTAGATATGTTGAAATAATTGATTAAAAGGATATAATTCTTATAAATAGATTTACAGTTTATTGCCTAAACTTCAGCCATTTAATCGCAACAATGGCTATTTGCGACTAATCATGAAGATATTGGAGCATTATATTTAATTTTTGGGGCATGAGCTGGAATAGTAGGTACATCTCTTAGAATCATAATTCGAGCTGAATCAGAGCACCCAGGTGCCTTAATTGGAGATGATCAAATTTATAACGTAAATGTCACTGCTCATGCTTTTGTAATCATTTTTTTCATAGTTATACCTATTATAATTGGAGGACTTGGAAATTGATTAGTACCTTTAATACTTCGTGCACCAGATAGATATAGCATTCCCTCAAATAAACAATATAAGTTTTTGATTATTACCCCCTTCCCTTACATTATTATTGTTAAGTAGTAAAGTAGAAAATGGAGCTGGAACAGTTTGAACAGTTTACCCTACCCTTTCTTCTGTAATTGCTCATGGAGGTGTTTCTGTTGATTTCGCAATTTTTTCTCCTCATTAAATTTCTTGTTCTATAAAGATTTAAATCAAATCTTCTATTCTAGGAGCTGTAAATTTTATCACTACAGTAATTAATATGCGATCCACTGGAATTTCATTTGATCGAATACCATTATTTGTTTGAGCAGTAGTTCTTACTGCATTATTATTGTTATTATCTTTACCAGATTTAGCCGGAGCTACTACTATATTATTAACAGATCGAAATTTAAGCACTTCATTTTTTGACCCAGCTGGAGGAGGAGACGCTATTTTATACCAACATTTATTTTGATTTTTTGGACACCCTGAAGTTTATATTTTAATTTTACCAGGTTTTGGAATAATTTCGCATTTTATCAGCCAAGAATCAAAAAAAGGAAACTTTTGGGTCATTAGTTATAATTTATGCTATACTACTACTATTACTATTGGATAATTAGGTTTTATTGTTTGAGCACATCACATATTTACAGTTGGTATAGACGTTGATACACGAGCTTACTTTACATCAGCAACTATAATTATTGCTGTACCAACAGGAATTAAAATTTTTAGCTGACTTGCTACACTTCACGGTACATAATTAAATTATTCCCCAGCTATACTTTGAGCTCCTGGACTTGTATTTTTATTCACAGTTGGAGGCTTAACAGGAGTTGTTCTTGCTAACTCTTCTGTTGATATTATTCTTCATGATACTTATTATGTTGTTGCACATTTTCATTATGTTTTATCAATAGGAGCAGTATTTGCTATTATAGCAGGATTTGTTCCTTTATTCACCGGAATGAATTTAAATCCTTAATGATTAAACAGTCAGTTTATTATTATATTGGATGAGTGCATAAGTTCGTTCCCGATTTCAAGTGCATACTAAAATTGAAATTTTTTGAAGAAAGCGCTTTTATTAATCAATTATGTATTCGCCATCATGTTCGGCAATCCACTCCCAACGTTCAACAAATTTACGGATGCCTGATTCATAGAAATCGCGCGGTTTCTCGTTGAAAAAGGTGTCAAGGTGGTTTTTGACGTCTTCCACATTTTAAAATATTTTTCCTGTTAAATTGTTCTGCAGCGATCGAAACAAATGATAATCAGAAGGTGCAATGTCGGGTGAATATGGGGGATGCGGCATGATTCCCCAATTCATCTCCTTCAATTTGGTCGGCTTTGCAACATGTGGCCTTGCGTTGTCATGATGGAAAAGAACTCCTTTGCGATTGGTCAAAATCGGACGTTTTTCATCGATTGCTTTTTTCAATTCGACCAATTGCTGACAATATTTGTTGGCAGTGATCGTTTCTCCAGCTGGCAAGAGCTCAAAATAGATCACGCCTCGGATATCCCACCAAATGCACAGCAGTACCTTCATCGGATGCAATCCACCTTTCGACATCGGTTCCGCCCCTTCGTGTGCCTCTTTCCATGTTCTTTTGCATTGAACATTACTGTACAGGATCCATTTTTCATCACCGGTCACGAGCCGATCCAAAAAAGGTTCGTTTTTGATCCGTCGAAGCAAAGAAATTGCTGTTGACATACGGTCCACTTTGTTTTTTTCACTCAACTGATGTGGCACCCATGTATCGAGCTTCAAAGTGTACCCAACCTTTTTTAAACGACGAAACGCAGTTGATTTGTTGACGTTCAATTCACTGGCAACCTCTTCCGTCGAAATACGTGAGTTATTCGCAACTAAAGTCCTTAGAACATCGTCATCAAGTTTAGAAGGCCGTCCACTGCGAGGTTAAAATCTCCAGAATGAAATTTCGCGAACCATTTTTTTACTGTGCGGAGTGCTGGAGCACGGTCCAAATAAACTTCGCGAATATCTATAGTTGCAGCGCCTAATGTTTTTCGTTGTCCATCTTCCATGCGTCTTTTCACTAAGCAACTCAAATCAAAATGAAGTTATTTTATGCTTGATTTACAGTTCGGACTGTCACCTTTCCAACGATATATAATATGTATATATTTCTTTCACGAGCGCCACTCTCAAACGACTCGAACGGCATTCAGCGGAATCAGGCACGAACTTATGCACTCATCCAATATTTATCGGAAAAAACTTAATATTTTTCCCTCAACATTTTTTAGGACTTGCTGGTATACCTCGTCGATACTCAGACTACCCATATGATTACACAACTTGAAATGTAGTTTCAACAATTGGTTCTTCAATTTCTTTACAAGGAATCTTATTTTTTTTAGTCTAGGCCTACAAGATAGAGCATCGCCTCTTATAAACAATTAACATTTTTTTCACGATCACGCACGGATAATTTTAGTACTAATCACAACTTTAGTTGGATTTTAATATTTATATTATTTTTTGATTCTTACACAAACCGAAACTTACTACATGGACAAACTATTGAAATAATTTGAACAATTTTACCAGCTAATGTTTAGTTATTTATTGCTTTTTTCTCTTCGACTATTAGCAGATGTAATTCATTCTTGAACTATTCCTGCTCTAGTAGTAAAAGTTGATGAAACTCCTGGACGTTTAAACCGGACTATTTTTTTAATAAATCGACCCGGCTTATTTTATAGTCATGTTCAGAAATTTGTGGAGCTAACCATAGTTTTATACCAATTGTAATTGAAAGAATTCCTACAAATAAGTTTATTAAATGAATCACTAACAGAGTTAATTAATTTTTAAACATTAGATGACTGAAAGCAAGTACTGGTCTCTTAAACCATTCTATAGTAAATTAGCATTTACTTCTAATGAAAAAAAAATTAGTTAAAATATAACATTAGTATGTCAAACTAAAAATTATTTAATATTTTTTAATTCCACAAATAGCACCAATTGGCTGATTAAATTTATTTATTACTTTCTATTTAACATTTATTTTATTTAGAATAATAAATTATTACTCTACAATTCCTCAATCCCCTAAATCTCAAATTTAAAAAAAATCACAAACTAATTCTATAAACTGAAATTGATAACAAATTTATTTCCTGTATTTGACCCTTCATCAAGCATTTTTAACTTATCATTAAACTGAATAAGTAAATTTAGTGGAATTTCATTAATTCCCTCTGCTTACAGATCTTCTCGATAAAACATTTTTTGAAATTCAATTTTAATAACCCTTCACTAATAATTTAAAACTTTATTAGGACCTAGTGGTCATTCAGGGTCTACTTTTTTTGTCTCATTATTTTCATTAATCTTATTTAATAATTTTATAGGTTTATTTCCTTATATTTTTAAAAGAACAAGTCATTTAACATTAACTCTTACATAAGCTTTACCTCTTTGGTTATCTTTTATACTTTACAGATGAATCAATAATACTCAACATATATTTGCGCACTTAGTTCCTCAAGGAACACCAGCAGTTTTAATACCAAATTGCTTTAATAGTTCTTGAATCAGCTGTAGCTAAAATTCAATCCTATGTATTTGCTGTTTTATGAACTCTTTACTCTTTACATTCAAACCACCCTTTTCATTTAGTTGATTATAGCCCATGACCTTTAACAGGAGCAATTGGTGCTATAACATCTATTTCAGGTTAAGTAAAATGATTTCATCAATATGGTATTTCTTTATTTCTTTAAGGAAATATTATTATTATTTTAACAGTTTATCAATGAGCAGAAGCCCACCCAAACATTGAGTTCAGTTTTTTGAATAGATCTGTCCTTGGCCTTATTCCCAAAAAGAGAGTAACCTTACTGCTAGTCTTAGAAATATGCTCCGAATTTCATATAAATCGAACGATCGTGAGCCGCAATTTTTTTTAAGGTTGGTAATTAGCTCAATTTTCAGAGAGAATGCAATTTCGAATAGTTTCTGTTAATCTAAGAAAAAAACCCACACCTACACTGAATATAAAGTAACTCCAGCCATCAACCTTTTTTGAACAATTCAGTCTTTAATCTATTCCACGGAGAGTAGTGTTCATGCTAATCTTAGCAAGGAGCCACGCCGTTGAATAGATCTTTCCTTGGAGCACGTCTCAAAAAGAGAGTAGTCTTTCACCTAATCTAAACTTTAAGCTAACTATGAAACGAATTTTAAGTAAATCGAACGATACTGTTTATTGTGAATAAATCTGTACTTGGTCCACTTCCTGATAGAGGAATAGTCTTTCTGTTAATTTAACCAAAAACCCACCCATGCATTAAATATCAAGTGAATCGGAAAATAAATGAACTTTTTTCGAATAGGTCAGTCCCTATCCCACTTCTCGGGATAGCATTCATGATAAATTAATCAAAAACCTACCCATGTGTTTAATATCAAGTGAATCGAACCATAAAGCTAATTTTTTCGAATATTTCGGTGCTTGGTCCACTCCCAGGAGAAAACAATTTTCTTCCTGTCAATCTCAGAAAAAACACACCCATGTACCGAATTTAGGTTTTTGACTAGTTCTGTCTTTGGCTCACTTCCCGTAAAGTAGACTTTCTGTTAGCCTTAGCATTAAGCCACGTATGCAACGAATGTCGAAAAAATCGAACGATAACTAATTTTTTTAATAGTTCGGTCCTTGGCTCACTTCTCAAAGAAAAAAGCCGCATTCGAAGTGCTCGACCGGGCTCCCACAATTGTCCACCTTGCAGTTCATTTAGGAAATGGACAAAGAGTATATTTCACAGAGAACAATATACAAGGAGTTGTTAATAACCCGCGGGATACAACATTAACAGCATTCTTCAAGTTATGTGCTCAAGATGATTTCGCGAAAACACTGACATATGACAGAGTTCCAGGTTACTATACATGGAGCCAGAGTTCTAAAACTTTTCAACGACGAAAACAGGGTACTGCGGTTGATGGTTTCCCCGGAGTAAAAAAACGGTTGTTCTTGGCAGAGTCTAAGTGGTTCATCCCAACAACAGCGAATGCTTTTATCTGAGAATGTTTCTGCATATTGTAAAAGGGCCGACATCCTTTGCACACCTAAGAACTGTACAAGGTGTTGTTTACAATACTTATCAAGCAGCATGCAAAGCTATGTTGCTCTTGGAAGACGATTCTCACTGGGAAAACACATTGTCAGAACCAGCTGTTTATAGTTCAGCTACATCATTAAGATATTTATTTGCCGTCATAGTAGTGTTTTGTCAAGTAACGGATTCTGTTAATCTATGGAATAAATTTCAAGAAAATATAGCCAGTGATATTCTGATTCGGCGACGGCGAGAGTTAAACTCAGATGATGTACAATATGATCAAAACATATTTGACGAAGCATTATTGGAATTGAACAAAGTAGTGCAATTACTTTAGTGTAAATCGATCAAGGATTTTGGGCTGCCGATGCCACCTAGTACTACTAACTCAGATTTAACTAACAGTGCCGAATATACAAGAGAAACATCATACGATCAAACGAGACTTTTACAAAATATATCTCAAGATGAGCCACGATTAAACATCGATCAGAAAAAAGTATTCACTGCATTACTATCAACTATCGGAAAAATTGCGTTAGCTGTTGCGACATCCGGCATTGCCGCTACGCTTTTGGAAGGAGGCCGAAGCCGCATTCCTCCCAATTTAAGCAAAATCACGCTCATAAACTGAATATTCAGTAAGTCGAATCATAATTAAGATTTTATCGAAAAATTCGGTATTTGTTCCATTTCCCGGAGAGAAGTGCAGCCTTCCTTCTAAGCTAAGCAAAACCCCACCCATACACTGAAAATCAAGTAAACCGAACCATAAATCACATTTTTTCAAATAGTTTGGGACTTGGTTCACTTCCTTGAGAGAAGTGCAGCCTTCCTACTAAGCTAAGCAAAAAATCCACTCATACACTAAGCGTCAAGTAAATCGAACCGTAAATCAGATTCTTTTGAATAACCGGGACTTTGTCCCATTTCACGGAGGAAATTATATCTTCATGTTAATATTAGCAAGTAATTCGAGCGTTAAATGCAATTTTCTTCCAATATTTCGGTCCTTTGTCCACTTCTTCTTGTTAATCCAAGCAAAAACCCTTTCATATTAGGTGTATGCATTAATTCGTGTGGTTTTCTAAGAGAGGACTCTACTAATACTATTTCGCGTCGTGTTCATCTGTGGCAAATTCAGTACATCCATAGTTTTCGCGTGAACAACAATTTTTTTCATTCAGTTGAAAATATCGAAACTTGTACCAGAAAAAGTTTTTTTGCGGGGAGTTCTTCTTCATTACTTTAACATAAAGAAAAGTGCTGCCGAAAGCCATCTTATTTTACTGGAAGTTTATGGTGACCATGATCATGACATTTTAAGACGAAGAATTGGAGGCATTGCTCGACGCAGATTCATGCCAGAGGCAAGAAGAACTTGACAAAGTATTAGGAGTTGATCAAGGAACCGTTTCCAGGCGATTAAAACCATTTTTCCACAATAAAGCCTTAGATTTGGAAAAAAAATGCACGATTTAATGCATACACCCAATTTATTGAACATTAAGAAAATCGAAATGTAAGTCAGACTTTTTTGAACAACCGGGAATTTTTTTCATTTTCCGGAAAGAATGAAATATTCATGTTGATCTTGTCAAAGATCCACCGCTGCACCATAATTTCAGAAATTTCAGTGATAAATATACCTTTATTTTGAATAGTTCAGTACTTGGTCTACTTCCCGAAAAGAACAATAGTCTTCCTTGAACATAAGTGAGATTTAATCGAATATGTCAGTCCCTTGCCCACTTCCCGGATAGAAAGTCGTCTTCCTGTTGATCTAAGCAAAATCACACCCATGAACCGAGTTTTGTTTTTAGATTACATCTGCTCTTGGCCCACGTCCCGAAAAGAGAGTAGGCTTTCTGCTAGTGTTAGTCATAAGATACCTATGCACCGAATTTCAAGTAAATCGAAAAATAAATGCAATTTTTTTGAAGAGAAAATTTACATTTCTGTTAATTTAAATAGATACCCACCCATACATCGAATAGCCCACTTCCCGGAGAGAAAGTAGTCTTCCTGTCAATCTCAGCACAAAACCAACTTTTGCACTGAATTTCAAGTAAATTCAACGATATATGCGATTTTTTCGAATAGTTCGGTCCTTATTCCCACCCATACACCGAATATCAAAAGGATCGATACATAAATGAGATTTTTTTAGTAGTTTAGTACCTAGCCCATGACCATGATATTTTAAGACGAAGAATTGGAGGCTTAGCTCGACGCAGTTCCATGCCAGAAGAAAGAAGAACTTGAAAAAGTATTAGGAGTTGATAAAGGAACCGTTTCCAAAAGATTAAAACCCTATTTTTCTCTATAAAGAATTAGATTTCGAAAAAAAACGCACGAGAGAAGTGTAGTCTTCCTGTTGATTTCAGCTAAAAAGCACCTATTTACTGAAGTTGAAGTTTTACGATCTATAAAAAAGATTTTTTCGAATATGCCGGTCAAGGTTCAATTTTCAGAGAGAAGTGTAGTATTTCGGCTTGTCTTAGGAAAAAGACACCTGTATACAGAATTTTGGGTAAATGGAACCATATATAATAAAAGCTTAAATAATCTAAGAAAAAATCCACCTATAAACCGAATTTCAAGTACATCGAAATAAAAAGAAGATTTTTTTGAAACGAGCAACCCTGATCCATTTTCCGGAGAGAAGCGTAGTCTTCCTGTTAATATCAGCAAAAAGACACCTATGTTCCAAGTACCAAGTAAATCGAACTATATATAAGATTCTTTTGAATAAGTCGGATACGGTTCACTTTCCGGAGAGAAGTGTAGTATTATATTTCTGTTAATATTAGCAAAAAAGCAACCTGTGTACCGAATTTCGGATTAATGGAACCATTAAAAAGTGTTTCTGAAACGTCAGTCCCTGTTCCACTTTCCGGAGATAAGAGTAGTCTTCCTGTTAATATCAGCAAAAAAGCAACCTGTAAACTGTAACGAACCCGGTTCTTCGGTTTATAGCTGGGCTATATCTCAGCCGGAGTATGGGTCTCTCCTATAATCTCGATTTCCAAAAGCGTAAGAAAAGGACAATACGAATATTTCTACGTTACACAGGTAGCTTTATTTTCAAATGTTCTTCTGGCAACGTTTTCACGTCAGCCGTATATCTTAGCCGTAACGTACTGGCAGCGTTTTCACGTCAGCCGTATATCTTAACCGTATCATATTGGCAGCGTTTTCACGTCAGCCGTATATCTTAAACCGTATCATATTGGCAGCGTTTATATATGTAATTATTTCTATGCATTGCGTATATATGTATTTCCACTGGAGGCTCCAAGGCCTTGGACTTGGAGTTTTCACACCCCCCTTTACTTCTCATAAGGTAGTGTTGTTCTCACCTTTCTGTTCTCTGCTCTTCGACATATTCTTCTTCTTCGATCCTTCGGCTTCTTCTTCTTCGAATTTCGTTCCGTTCGTAGACTTCTTCGAATTCTGGCTCTTCTTCTTCTCTGTTTCTGCGGATTCTTCTCCTTCTGTGCTTCTTCGGCCTTTTCTACTTCTTTGCTTCTTCGTCGCCTTGCTTACTACCAGAGTTGTACTTGTCTCACCCGTAACCGCACCTTCTTGCTCACTCTGCTTAGTTATTTGACCTCTAAGGCACTGTTGGATGTACCTCCTAATATCCCTGAACATTCTCGGCCAGTAATATCGTACTGCTGCCTTTTCAACAGTTTCCTTAATGCCCATGTGTTCGGGATTGGGACTGCAATGAGCTTCGTTCATTACTTTTTTACGTAATGGGGTCGCTACGCAGAGCTTCCATGGGGTGGCATCTTCTTCATTTTATATGTGGTGATACAATTCTCTACTTCGTAGCGTGTAGTCCGGGAACTTTTCCGGAGCCAACTTAACTTCTCTTATTGTGGTTTTAGCCACCTGCAGTTGATTGCTTCATTTTCTCCAACCTCTATCTTCGGCTGCTCTTTCGTCTTACAATGGAATGGTCCTTCGTAGAACTTCATAGTCGAACATTTAATTTTCGTTCGTGGCTCGCTTAATTATCAGTTTAATTATTTGCCCTCCGCAGCTAATGGTTGTGTTGGCTTTTACCAGGTAATCTGTCCCGAGGATCACGTCGTCGATTACACCTGGTAGGACAAGTAGCTCGCTCGTGTGCTCTTTTTCGCACATTTGTATAGTTGCTTTCACTCCTTCGGTGACCGCTCTCAGTCTACCATCTCCCACCAATACCATCTTGGACACCCTTCGTGTTGGTCCCACTTTTAGGGATTCTGCTACCTTCTTGCTGATAAAACTCTGAGTTGCTCCAGTATCGATCCTTGCTGATATGGGCTTTCCGTTTCTCGCTACTGAGGCGATTATGCGATCTTCTGTCTGGCGTAGAACTGACGGCGTTTTGCAAGAAATTGTTGCAACGGGGGACGATGTCACCCCTCGGATTAGGTGGAGTCGCTGGCCGTTTCCCGGACTCGAACGGCAACACTTTTGGGTTCGAACGCCTGTTCGTCCGCATGTCCAGCAAAACAGTTGGATGTCATTCTGGCACTCATAGGCGAAGTGTCCATTTTCCCCACATCTTCTAAACGCCGTTCGTTCGGCTAGGCTTTTCGTCTCTAGGCTGCCGGTTCACCTGGTGTGGTCGTGGAATAAACGCCTCTCTTGTCGGCGCATGCCTACGCTCTTCGTAGTGCCTTTCTGGCAACGTATATCTCTCTCTACGCGGCTTTCCTCTCATAGCACAGCAACGCTCTTCATTTCTCGTGGGTGGCATTATTTTAACTGCAGCCCTAGATTGCTCTCTCTCTCGCATGATGTTTTCGAAGTCTTCGGCCAGACTTACTAGTTCGGTTAGGGTCCCGAACTCACTCTCTTTTATGTATAGTTGGTAGTCACTCCTACAATTTCGATATATGCGCCGGAGTTTTTGTGTTGGCGTGTACTCTGAATGCTTCATTAGCCCTTGGAGTGCGAGTACATAATCTTTAAATTCCTCTTTTGGTCGTTGCACACGTTGCCTGATTTGGTCATCTAGACGCTCAAAATAACGAGAATTCAGGAAGAACTTCAAGAAATCTCGTTTGAATGTCTCCTAGGTTTGGCATTGGCCGTGGTTATTACGGAGCCAGACTAAGGCTCGGTCCTTGAGTAGCTCCGGTAAAGCTCTCGGGAGCGCGTTTAATTCTACTTCGTAGCGTGTGCTAATTCTTCGACGCGTTCGAGGAAGCCCAGTGGGTCCTTGCCGCCGACGTATTTCACACCCCACTTGCGAACGCGGTCCATCAATGATTGGGTGGACAATTGTGGGTAGACGTGGGTATACGCCTCGATCATACGGGGAGACATTCCCGTACT